GCTGTGTATGCCTTTGGTGCAGTTCAGCAGAGCTCTCTCTGAACTCCTGCTCAAGGAGACCTCATTCTTGCCCCCGTCTCGCAAGGCAAGGGCAACATCAGGGAACAGCACTTTCAAAACATAAGCCAAATGCAGGGTGCTCTGAAACCAAATCCCTCTGCCTGCAAATGAGAAAGTTGGGTTTCAGATATTACTTGTTTCTAAATGTTTTGTCACAAACTTCCTTTGAAGATGGGGAAGATGAAAAAAAATGGGATGAGTGCTCCCTGGCCCAAGCTCAATATCCAGATTCTCTGCTTAGAGCTCTCAAGAAAGAAGGGCTTCCTGAAAGAACTCTCCTGTCCACAAGCTATGATATAGCACACGTGTCTGGCAGATGCACAAGCTGCTACCAATGTGCTTTGAGGTTACAATACCCAGCCCCCTGTAGCTAAGGAAGAAGAAGAATATTCTTTACCTTTGTAGAGGTGGGTCTAGATGCAGCCATCTGAGACCCAAGAAGCCTGGGGGAGCTTGGATGTGGACTCCTGTGACAGGGACAGGCTCAAACAGGTACTATTTGGATGTGAATCCAAATCCAAATTCCCACAGGTTTTTGGCTGCCAGTTGGCTGGGAGGCTTTATTCTATCTCTAATTCCACAAAAGAAAAAGAAACAAAAAACAACAAAGTAAAAGGTGCTTTTAAAATACCATGAGGAGAGAAACTACCATGGAAATAAATAGCGAAAATAACGACGTTAACATTTCCGGTGTCACAGCAACTCTGAAATTCAAGTAGTGTGCACATGCCGACAGCACTTTCTCACAGCCACCTTCGGCGCGGTCTGAGGCTCAGAGCTCAGATTGTGTCCCGTTGTTCACCGAAACAACCAACTCCTCCTTGGCGCTGGAATGGATCTGGAGAGAAGGGGAGAGGAAAGATGGATGCAGTCTCTGCTGATAATCGGGTCTTTACTGTGCCCACCTGATGCCGCACTTTAGCGGGACAAAGACACAAAGTTCTCTGTTTTCTGTCCCTGTCTGTCATGCCTGAGATAGAATGGCCGTGCTTCAGAGCTGGAAAGGGTATTGCTTCAAGTAGTCCCCCATCCGCCTGGGCAGAGGGAGCTGGTCCACGTCAGCTGTAGACTTGTTAATCCTCAGCCGGCACAGGTGCTGCAGACTGGGGATGTTGTCTTTGCGGCCCAGTGGCCGGATAAGCTTCAAGTGTACTGCAGCTGCTGCCATCTCTTTTTGCATAGGAGGTAGAGGAGATGGAGGCGGGTAAGGAGCCTCGTTCTTGCTTTCCATTGTGCAGGACATGACATAATGCTGGATAAGACTGACCACGTCTGGGAAGGCCAGGATGCGAGGCTTGGACAAGTAGTTTGAGTCTAGCCGGAATTTGCTGTCAGTGTATTCGATGCGCACGTTGGTGGGACCTCGATTTGTCTTGACAGAGAGTGTGAACAGGTAGCTGGGGTGGGTGCTGTCCCGTACCAGGAAAGTGCCCTCAGGCATCTTTTGGAGATGCTGCTTGGCCTCACTGGCAGTGATAGATCCCCAGTACCAACCTGGAAAAGCATCCCAGAGAGAACTTGTTAGGGGGAAAAAAGGTGTTAAAGGACTGGCAGTGTATTTAAGGAAGGCTTGAAGCCTACTGAGTTCAGAGCCTGGGAATTAACCAAGGCCAGACTCAGTAAGACCTTCAAGTGGGTCTTTAAGACCATGTCAAGTGGGTTTCCTATCCATGCTTGTCATTGCTGTGCCAGGGCTTGGGATGGGGATGACTACTTTTGCAGCTACTGCAGTTTACAGAGAAAGAGGGGCCTTTTTGCATTTCTTTCTCCTGATTGAGTTATAAACAACAAAGCTTGTGCTTACACTGGTAATAAATTACGTTATGATAAAAGTTTGTAGAGTCTGAAAATACACTTGCCGCATCGCAAGAGTCAGCCATGTCTGCGACAGAACCAGGTTCCTATCTGAAGTGGGATCACAAGATTCTTCCTGGAGCTCAGATCCTTCTGACCTCATGACTTTGTGAGTTGAGCCTTACCAGATTCTCGCAGATAGGAGAAGGTTTTTGCAATGCAGAGAAGGTCTTCTTCAGGGTCTCGTGTCTGAGGTGGGTTGCTGTCTGGAACTGGTGCTGCAAAGGCAGGCGCAGACTCCTCCTGGAAGGCCATAACTGGGAGAGGCTGCATGATCGGCTCTGGCAGATCCACCGCAATGCCCCTGAGTGACAGTCTCCTGATCTTCTCCTCCGCCAGCAAAGGATGAGGTCTGAAACGAAGGGCATACTCTGCTATTTTTCCTGCATGCTCCTTTGTACTACAACATGCTATGTTTCATGAACAGATCCTCATTATGATTATGTTTCAGAGAGAGGCAAGGGGAGAAAAATTACATAGCTAAAGATGAGCCTTCAGAAACAGAGAGCTGGCCTCTTTCGCCTTGTAAAAGGTGGTCTATCTTGCGATTTAGGTTGGTTTGAAACCTGGTATTTTCAGATGTTGCCTTTTAGTATGTCGTTTCAGAGGCAATAAGGTTCATGGCAGCATTACAGCTCCACTTACATTATTAGAACATTAGAGCATTTCTTTTTCTGCCAGTGGGTTTGTTAGTCATTTACTGTAACATAATTAGAAGCAGAGCTGGGAATGAATAGCTTGGGTTTTGTCCTACCTGCTTTCTGCTGAAGGTTGACCCGATCCTAAATGTGTCTGTTAGAACTCAGGGTGAGCTGATCTTGTAGTAGAATAATGGGAATTCTTGTTTCAGCCAAGCCTCTGCACTACACAAACCCTAGCATTCAATGGCACGATGGAAATGTCAGTGCAACTGTAATCCCTGCAGGATTACAGCAGTAGGAGGTTCTGCCATGACTGGGCTGCTGTGAACATTAATCCCTGTGTGGCCTAAGGAGAGCGTTAGTGTAGCCATTCAGTATCTGAGTGCAGTTTCACAAAGCCTGGAGCTCTCATGGGCCATGGGTGCTCTTTCTCTGCAGTATGGAGATTCCTAAAGGAAGGCAGAGCTCCAGAGGGAGGACGCATGTTGGAGGCCAGGGAAGTCTTCATTCCCAGGTGATCTCCTGAGCAAAAACATTAGTTTCTGTCTTTTCTCCTAGGCTCTTTGCCTTTGTGTGCCCTGTACTGCTGCATGTCTGTGTCGTGTCCCTTGCATGCACTCGCTTGCTTGAGATGTTCTTTCAGACACTTAAAAGATAGCTGAGTTTCCATAGAAATACAACACAGTCCTCAACGTGAGACCGTCACAGCACCATTGGGACTAAGGGTGATTGCAAAGGCAGCAGCCACCTCCTCCCACACCACTGAAGAGAGAAGTGGAAGGAGACTCTAAAGTCATCAGCACGTCCCTTCCGATCTTTGTCCTTGTCTGTGCTTTATGTGAACAGTGGCACTTCAGGTACATACATAAATGTGTTGTAAACTGCTCTGCACCTGGTCGTAGCTGCACTCTACTTTCTCAGGCTGCCAAGTCTCAGGTACGGGGCAGGGAGCAGGAAAAAGGGATTTGGGGGAAAAGTAGGGTAGAGAGAACCTGAAAATGACTTCACAATGATTTGTGAGAGCCATGATCAGTTCTATGACTCTGCATTTCTAATAAAACCACGTAGGTTTGGAGTAGGGTTTTTGTAAAACCACTGGTAAAATTGAATCTACAGAGAGACACTTCTTGCCCATGAAACGCGTGGCAAACCCCTCTATTCTGTTGGTATTTAGAAAAGAACATTCTTCAGTTTTCCATATGCCAAATCACATTTCAGAAGCAGGATATCTACTTGGCATTCATGACATTTGATCCTCTTTTCTGAATTTCTATTCATGGGTAGGACGCCAAACCTAATAAAGGGGTTGCTGGCCCTTATCTGCACCAGGGACTGCACTGCGTTTGCAGGGGCTTTCACAGAACAAGTGGATCTGAATATACTTTTATACCTGGAGATCGCTGTTGGAAAACCTTTGAGTTCTCTTTTAAGTCCCACCTGAGCTGAAAATGACTGTGGCCAATGTTAAGTAAAATCAGTCCTGCACTGCTCACTGCCCACTCACTCCCTAGAACTTGAATACTGCAGTCCAAATTCCGAATCTCTCTGAACTTCTTTTCTCCTGGAACATCTTTCTGGCCAACCATTTGGGAAGGGTTTTGAACATGAAGAAAACTTTTCTTGCTCCTAGCATGGAACTACTTGGGGTTTTTTCTTTTTATATACCTGCTTGGGAGAGGAAATTAGGAATTGGCTAAGAGACTGGGAAGGAAGGGAGAGATAGCAAAGCTATGTGAGGAAGTGTACTCCTGTTTCATTGCAGAAAGCTGCTAATTTCAAGGGCTGTACCAGTTCACGGTTTGGTCCTCTAAAAGACACATCAACTCTGTGAATTTGTCAGTAGGTTTCTTTTGCAGAGCCACTGTAGGTCTCTGAGGCAGAGCCCGTGTGCTTGAGATGAGGTTTCCCACTGTGCTCGTTCTCGGCTGCCTTACACCTTCTGCCACCTGAAGCTGAAGGAGCCCAAACTCCATGCAGTCACTGTGGAGATTCTTCCTCTGCAGCCAGAGAAGGGCCATGCTTATACTCTTCCTATTTTCCTTCTATATACCTGTGTTTTTGTGCCTCTCTCTCCCCCTACAAAAAGTCCTAGTGCAACTGTAGTCTCAAAGGAGCATGGCGGGATTAGAAATTCTCAGACTGGGAGGTGCTGGTGTCCTAAACAGCTTTGTACATAGGCTGGAGAAAAAAGAGCTGCTGCTGTGACCAGAGCAGTTCCAAGCGCAGGAAAGGAAGAGCAGGGGGATCAGTGAGTAATGGCAGAGTACAACTTTTAATGCAAGTACTTTTGCAAGAGGGATAAGAAGACTTTGCTGGCATGAGGACACGTTGAAAAAGGTATGCTGGCATGAAAAAGTCAGTCCTTTAATGGGGCAAAGTACCTATTTGCAAATAATTACTGCTTGTAAGAAAGAAGGTAGAGGAGAGATGTGGAGGATCAGGACTGAAGAAAGTAAAGTGTTAGTACAGCAGCTGCGATGAGGAAGAAAACAAATTTGTAAAGTTTGGCATGTCTAGCTGGTAGTCTGTGCGGAGTCTCTGTTGTGGAGAAACAGCAAATGAACTTCCCTGTGCTTTGGCACCTAGTGTTTCAAAAAGCCTTGGAAAACCAAGAAAGTTCAAGAGAATCAGATATGTCCGATATCATTTAGTGTTAGCTTTGCAGTTACTTTGCTGATAACTTTGTAACACAGTACAAATAGTAAAAGAAAAAGTGTGTTGAGCTGCTCTCCCTTCCATCAGCCACGTCCCAAGACTCCCATGGGAGCTTGGTCTGAATAGGAGACAGTATAGAGTCCAGGATATATGAAATCCTAGAGGACAGTGAAAACTGAGCAATAAATGGTCATAAGAAAAGATATTAAGAGACAACCATCTACATGTCTGGCTACATAACAAGTTCTTAGTGGGTGAAGGGAAGCAGTAGCTCTGGCATGCTAACCCTGGAGAAAAGTTTCAGATAAGGGTTTCACAAAGCCCAAGTTGAAAAATGAATTCGTTTTACCATGGCTATAGGAACTGCAGCAGTAGACTGAAAATGAGAGCGAAAATGAACCCACTTGAGTAGTAGGAAAGTATTAGTAAGCATCTGGCTGTCTGTGGAACAGTTTTTGAGGGGAAATAGCAGAAAAATCCCCGTGCTTTAGTCATTTAAAGCAGACAAGGCTTTTCCTCATTGCCTCTGAGGAAAATCCACTGAGGGCAGGAGGGATGGGCAATACTGACGTTACAGCTCAGGCTGAAAGAGATGCTGACACTTTCCAAATACGCAGCACCTGAAAATGCTGGATGCTTCCTGCAGACCAGGTATTAACGCATGTTGATGACCTGAGCTGATCACAGAGACACTGAGGTGCCAAGACACCGGTACCGGAGAAGGGTCTCGGATGTGACCTGTTTTACTGAACAAAGGTGGTGTAACTGTGCCCCCGTGGCTTTCATTCTACAGAACAGTATGTATGGGTAAGTCTGTGTATGTGTACATACATTTAATCTTACCCATAAAAGCAACAGAAAACCAAAATTAGGTGTTTAGCATAAATATTTAATTAGAACTAGACAAAAACATCTGAAATCCAGGGAGGTTTTTCCCTGTAAGTAGTTTGTTTCCACTGGGACATTAGAGAACACCTACAGTCTCAGGCTTGTGTCCCCGCTGGTGCTGCAGACACACCACTGAGTAACACACTCCCAAGTTTTTACTCATTTTTACTCCCCCAAAGACTTTGAATACCAGTAGCTGTTTAGCAATAGAAAGCACAGAAATCAGGAATACTTTTTGGTCCCATGATTTTTGGCCATGGAGTCTAAAAAGCAGACACAGGACACACACGTACAACTCGGCCAGTGTAAGTCGTTTCCCCTTCCATAACAATCACACATGGCAACTCACACGAGCTGAAAAACTGTCCCAGAGAATCTTACTAATTACAATTTTCAACCCACAGCTTTTAAAAGAAGGCTGCAAAGTGTCTTACCCCTGAACACAGAGGATCATGTCACTCCTGGACCAAGGGAAGAAACGCATTAAGTCTTCAAGAAGGTGGGAAATGCTTTCTCCTCTTCTCTTGTTCCCTTCTCGTCTCCTTTTCCTTTGCTTCCCAGAAGGAGCGAACTAGTTCCAGCCTCTGATTAGGGGTTCACGGTAAGGGAAGGCTGGAGAGTCCCAGCAAACCCCTTCCGCAGTAGGCTGTGCTTCAGACACAGAAAAAGCGAAGCAGGAGGCGAATCAGGCTGTCCGAGAAAGACTTCGCAGATTGTTTAGCAACTTTGGCCAGAAAAACGCATGCACTCTCAGTGCTTTAGAAAATAACGTGTTCTTGTTCTGCGTTTCAGAAAACGACGACAAAAAAGTGTTAAAAATAACCAGAGAGAAGGGAAATTACATCTATTTAAAGAGGAACTGATCTTCCTTCAGAGCAATCTTTTAGAAAAAAACATTCCATGTGCTCTGAAATAATAATAAATAGATACCAATAAATAATGTCTCCCCGAACGCCCGGGGGAAGAGAGCCGAGAGAGCAGCAACCTGCTTTTCCACTGACTCCCGAAGTAATGAAGCTCCGAGGGAAAAAACCCAACCTACTAAGTAATCTTTTGTTTGCCGCTTTTAATCTGTTCCAGGAAGTGAGGGATTCCTGGAATCGTATTGTGTCCGCATCACCCTTCCGATGTCAGCCACGCGGAGAGAG